GCCTGCGTCCCGGTGCCACTGCCTCTGCAGAAGGGACGCCCGGAAGGGGCGGCAGGCCCAGCTCAGACAAGCCCATGCGGTCAGGGCCACCTGGAGCTCCGCGGCACTGGCTGTCAGGGGAGACGCGGCCCCGACCTCCAGCCCCAATGAACGCTGTGTCCTCGTGGAACGGGAAGCAGCAGGCAGCCAGAGCCACCCTGAGCTGAGCTTGGATGGTCATCAGTGCAGGTTTCCTTCTGGCACACCATCCACACACGTGTGACACGGAGACGTTACATGTGCAGTAAAGACAGAGGTTCCTACAGGAGTTAGTAACCCAGCTCTTGTTTGCCGGAGACATTTGGGCTACTGACATCGTAGTTCCACATGCTTTTTCCTCAGCAAGGGACTACTGGTTACACAAGGGAGTGAAGAACTCTTCTCTTCTGATCTATTTTCAAAACTCAACAGCTAGCACGTGAGATGGGAGCAAACTCTCCTTTTTCCTAGCTTCAGCGCATTCCACAATTGAGCTGAGCATAATTTGAAAAGCAAAGCCCAGGGAGAAAAGGAGCCTTAGAGGACTGCTGCGGCCTTGGAAATCCTCCAACTCCATTATTCCCTGGCCCCCCGGGGCTGCGCCCGCCGGGCTTTGTGGTGGGGGAGACCCAGCGGCTGTCACCCCCTGTGAGGTTTGCAGCGCAGCCACAGCAGCTCGGCGTGTTGCCCTCTGCCTGCTCTGGAGCCGAGGAGATGCCAGCACTCGGAGCAGCGCTCAGGGCTCTGCTGCTTTGGGGAAAGCAGCCCAGGTCAGAGGTTCTCCTTGGTTTCCAAAGGGACACGTGCTTTGCCGAGGGCTGTGTTCCACACGGGAACGCAATCCCCAACCTCAAGCGAGGAACAGGAGAATATTCCTTCTTGGCAAGTGAACTCAAATAACAGAAGCAATTCCATTTTTCTGAATTTCCTCTGATCCCTCTCCCACCTTGCCGGACCTTTAGGCAAGCCAGGGACTAGACCCAGGTGAACGCCGTTGTCTGGCCATGGCCAGCAGATGTGTCTGGCTGGGTATTTCCACTGCCTGGTGCACTCCCTTCCTGACAGCCACACAAACCTTGGGCAAAGCTCTGCCCATCCATACGGCCACAGCAGCTTTTTATGAGAGCTTTCC